TGATGAAACTACGCGTAATACGGATTTAGATGCGAATCCGTTATATGTCCCTCCGAATACTTCAGAAAAACACGCGAAAGAGTCTAAAGAACATTCGAATGCTGATTTGTTCGCTTTAGAGATATTTCAGGAACCTATCGAAACTGATGACGATGAGGAAGAAGAACCTTTAAGTAGTGACAATGATGATAAAGAAGAATTAGCAATAACACAATCTTCACAATCCATTCCTGGAACTCCATCACCAAGAAAGGTTCCTTTGCCAACAAGTCCCGCGTCTCCTACACCAAGAAGAATTCCCTTACCTACGAGTCCTGTTTCTCTTACACCAAGAAGGATTCCTTTGCCCACAAGCCCTTTGAACTCGACACCAAGAAGAATTCCTTTACCAGACAGTGATAATGAAGATTCGGATGCGACGGTGAGTGACGTCGATGAAGAGAAAGGAATTGCAGAGGTTTCGGTTAGCACTAACAGAGCAGAAATACACGATATTCATGATGTTTCACTCGGCTCTTCGAAAAGAACTTCAAATTTGAATGCATCCGGTAGTTCTGAGGACAATGAGATACACCAATTCAATTTGAAAACTCTTAGTCTTCTCGAATATATGTTACGATTAAGTGCCTTGGAGATTTGTGAGCAAACAAATCTTCTTGAGATAGCTGACGAAAAAATCAACTTATTCCTTAAAGATGACGATCCAACTGGAAGTTCTACTTCTACTGTTTCTGCAACAACTCCAGAATCATCTCCATCTAAAGCTACCCCTCGTCGATCGATGCCAAAGTCCATCTCATCTTCTAGAAAACTTTTGTTTAAAAATGAAATTGATGCTATTAATAAAATGTCAGTATTGAGTGTTAACGACAAATAACATTTACTTAGTAAAATCAATATTAGTCAATATCAAACACACGACTTTGTTGGACATGCGATTCTAAAAATTAGGAAGCTAGTTAATTTTTAGTTATAAAGCTGCATTGTTATAAAATCAATGATTACATATTAAAGCTTTTATAGATAAATAACATGTAGACAGCACTTTTTAATTTATTCAAAATAAATAATATAATATTATTGTTATGTAGTTATTTTTATAATAGATAGAAGGCTTTTTTTAATTTTTATTTATTTTTTATTGTTAAAATCAGTGTTGGGCAAATTAGTGGTCGACCAAAAATTTGCTGGTCAAATTGGTCTGGTCAAATTGGTCAATTGGTCAAA